CAGACCATTTCCCTTCCGTGGGGTGGCCGTAATGAAGAAGTGCTTTATCTGAACTTTTATTGTGAATGTCCTGCTATGTATGTGGTATCTGAGAGGACTTGCGTGCAGACAAAGCCCATGTGTTAGAATAGCGTTGATTTTTTTTTTTCTTACCTCCAAATCTAGGTGGCAGGTCTGGCAGCGCGGGGGCAGCAGTTTGCAGAAGCAGTGAAGCAGCCTGGCATCGCGTTCGCCCTGGCGCGTTTCGACGGCATTCTGGGCATGGCGTACCCCGCGATCTCCATCGATGGCATCACCCCCGTCTTCGACACCATCATGGCTGCCAAGCTTTTGCCACAGAACATCTTCTCTTTCTACATCAACAGGTCTCCGCTGATGCTTTTCTTTTTTTAAGAAAATAATGGTGTGGGATTGGCTGGGTGGACATTGGCTGTAATGTTAGGATAGACGGACAGATAGATCGTTTATTGTCATTGCATATTAATACACAACAAAATTCATTTTGAAGCAAACCGTTAAACTTAGCAGCTTAAAATGGCATAAATATCAAAGATAAAAATAAGGCCATGTAAGTAAAACAGAGCTGGCAAAATGCAAATTGTAATACATCTTTTAAAGTTAATATCAGTGATTATGAGTTCATATCATTCACATTACAGTTCAACAATGCATCACATTTTAAAAGTCAGTAATAAATCCGTCAGTTATAAATAGTATATATCAGTGCTTATAAACCCCTATCATTGACATCAGGGTGTAACAACTCATCATGTCCACGCCAGTGTTTATCCGCTTTCTGTCTCCCAGTGTGTCAATGCGCCAAATCAGAAAGAAGGACTGTATCAGTGATGAAAATCTGTTTCAGTTATTAAAAAGAACCATATCAGAGTAGCAGAGTACATCCATACATCACATCTCAGAAAAGTCCATACGAGCCATACCAGTGATTAGAAAAGGTCAGGCTTTATCCCTGCCGAGTTGGATGACATGTTTAATATACATGTCAGGTGGCCAAGTAAGAGTTAAGCAGTTTATCCACCACTCTGGGGAAAAAGCTGTTTTTAAAATGATTTGCCTGGGCTATAATTAGATTTAAGATGATGATGATCCATCCATCCATTGTCCAACCCGCTTATCCCACTGGGTCTGGAGCCTATCCTGGAAGCAATGGGCATGAGGCATTGAACAACCCTGGATGGGGGGCCAGCACATTGTAGGGCACACTCACACACCATTCACTCACACGTGCACACCTAAGGGCAATTTAGCAACGCTGATTATCCTCAGCATCTCTTTGGACTGTGGGGGGAAAACTGGAGTACCTGGAGAAAACCCCACGATGACACAGGGAGAACATGCAAACTCCACACATATGTGACCCAGGCGGAGACTCAAACCCAGGTCCCAGAGGTGCGAGGCAACAGTGCTAACCACCATGCCACCCCTCATAATATAATAATAATAATAATAATAATAATAATAACAAATGCTTCTAATTTTAAGCAAATAATAGCAGACAAAATTTTTCAACCAAACCCTTTGACAACATGAATGGTGCATTTAAGAAGCGCGAGAGCAGCAGTGTCACCATTTAAGAAGCGCGAGAGCAGCAGTGTCACCATTTAAGAAGCGCGAGAGCAGCAGTGTCACCATTTAAGAAGCGCGAGAGCAGCAGTGTCACCATTTAAGAAGGGTGAGAGCAGCAGTGTCACCATTTAAGAAGCGTGAGAGCAGCAGTGTCACCTTGGCTGACCTCTTTCCATCAGGAATCCTAAAGCTCCTGTGGGTGGTGAGCTGATGTTTGGAGGAACGGATGAGAAATACTATGACGGTGAGCTGTTTTACGTGAACGTCACTCGCAAAGCTTACTGGCAGATCAAAATGGATGGGTAAGTAGCTTGATCTGTTTCATCCTAGTTTAATCTTTAATGTTTAATCGTTCCAAGTGGTATCATTTTAAGCATGGGAAATAGCCTAAATGGTGGGCAGTAGTGGCTTAATGGTTAGGGAAGCGCACTTGTAATTAAAAGATTGCAGGTTTGAATCCCAGCCCAGCATGGCACCACTGAGGTACCCTGAGCAAGGTACCGCCCCCAAGCACTGCTCCCCAGGTGTTGAATTAGCTGCCATCTGCTATGTCAGGATAGCATATTTGTTAAATGCAGAGGACACATTTTGTTGTGGTGGGTCAACAATGACCACTGATCACCTAAGATAACTAAGAATAACAATCTGGCTTGGCTTGAAGGTTGCAGTGTCTGGTACCTTATACACATCACTTTAGTCTGTTCTCCACACCCATATTTGCAGTGTTGCCGTTGGCAACCAGTTGATGCTGTGCAAGGGTGGTTGCCAGGCAATTGTCGACACGGGAACCTCCCTCATCACAGGCCCTGCTGAAGAGATCCGCACTCTACAGAAAGCTGTCGGGGCATTTCCTTTGATTATGGGAGAGGTAAGGAAGCTGGAATGGGGGCCAAACACAGCACCGATTTGCTATCATTTTAGCCATGTCCATGAAATCGGTGCCGAGGTCATTTGCACTTTATGTAATGAAACGACATGGATGTCCTATCATTCTGATTCGTCCTCTTGTCTTTTAGTACATGATTGACTGCAAGAAGATCCCATCCCTCCCAGTTATCTCATTCACTCTTGGGGGGAAGCAGTTCAATCTCACTGGAGAGGACTATGTAGTGAAGGTAATTGTGTCCCCAGAAGAGGTAGACTGATGTGATGACTAATCCCATAAGTTAGTGTGTGTATATTAGACTATAGCTCTATACTTGTTACCTGTTGCATGAACAAGTGTGAATATGTACTGGGATGGGAAACAGCTCAGTCTTTGTCTTGACTTTGGTTTTAGGAGACTATGCTGGGAAATACAGTGTGTTTGTCTGGGCTCATGGCCATGGACATCCCCCCCCCAGCCGGACCCCTGTGGATTCTGGGTGATGTCTTCATTGGGCGCTACTACAGTGTCTTTGACAGAGATGCCGACCGAGTAGGCTTTGCGCCCACAAAGTAGAAAAGTGCATCGAATATATGGAAATTTCAGAAATGATTTGACACAATTTACCAATTATGCATATGATTGTGAGTTATTTTTGACCGCAGTGAGAATGTGTACTGCTAAATATCAGTGCTGGGGTGAAATTTGAGGCACATATGCAGGGGGCTGAAACAAGTGGCAAAATAAACATATTTGGAGGTTTTATGTTACTATACTACTAAGCAACAAGCACTAGCTGGGACCTCTGGTCTTTGTGGGATTATAAATGGATCATCAGTGGGTATGACTACCTAAATGCTCATGATTGTGGGTCTGACACCTTCTGCTTTAAAAATCTTTTTAAGTTTTGCTACTGAAAATTCTGTTCTGGGCATTTGTATATGTGTTGTTATAAACCAGTTTTTGAAATTGGCCGTGTGGTTCTTTCACTTTAAACCTTTTGAAGGCAGGTAACACACGTCTTGCTGTGCTGTCATTTCTAAAGCCTTCGCAGGACCAAACATGCAAGTAGTGCGTATAGTTACCATTAGCATTTAGCTAACGATGTCCTTTGAGACACACAGACACATATATATTCGCTTTTCTGGCGGTTCATACGCAGTTTTCGGGGGTTAGGGCCTTGCTGTCACGCTACGCCGGTGAGCGGGCGGGTAAACAGGATCACAGAGTCGGAGGTTCGGGGAAACAGGACTTTAATGATGACTAGGGCAGACAGGAAGGGACGACACGTAACAATACAATGACTAACCTAGGGATCACTGACTCTGACAAGAACTAAATACACTAAACACGCTGAGGAAAACTAGCAACAGGTGAGATCCGTCAGGGAAGAACACGGGTTAACGAGGTGGGCGTGGCACACATGAGGGTCGGACGGAGCCGGGTGTGACACTTGCTGAATGGCTAGACAGTTAAATTAATACAACTAAAATATATTGCATAATGTCTTAAAACAGTTTTTTGCAATGCAGAGAATTTTCTCTTTAGCATAGTAATAAAGATAATTTGAAATATCTGCGTATTAGCTTACAGTAAAGAAATCTAGAAAAAAAGACATAGGGGGTTTTCCTGTATTGTATTTTTAGTCTTTTATTGAATTGGTTGAAAGCTTATAGGCACTTAAGCCTGTTGGTCACAGTGTTTGAGGATTTCGGTTCCAAACGTCCTAACTAGCAGGCAGCATGGTGGCACAGTGGTTAGTGCTGCTGTTCCACAGCAAGAAGGTCTCCAGTTTCCTCCCACACTCCAAAAATGTGTGCGGTAGGTTAATTGGCAAATCTAAGTTGGTCCGATTTGTGTGCACCCTGTGGTGTGTTGGCACCTGCCCAGGGATGGGCTCCTGCCTGCACCCCTTCTCAGGATAGGCACTGGTCCCCCCACAACCCCAGTTGGGATTAAGTGATGATGGATGGATGTCCTAACTAGCTGTGAATTACTCAGCAGCACCTTATGCCTATAAAGAGCCTGAATACATTCAAAGCAGCATTTTTCACATTCATAGCAAAACCATCATTTGCCTTGCGGATTTAATGAAGAGTAGTAGATTCCTTTATGGGTGCTGGTATAAAATCTTGTGCATGCAGGTATCCGTAGGAACCAGAGCTGGGTAACCCGGGTCAGGATAGTAGTGAACAGCGATTAGCCTCTTTGGAATGTTCCGGGGCATTGGCATTGACAAACACTATAAGACAACCTGCTGCTTAGACATATACAGTGCATCATGGGCGTTTAATCGTCTCCTTCCAAAACAAACAGAACATTCGTGTGTGTAGCTCAGGGGTGTTCAATCTTATCCGCAAAGGGCCGGTGTGTATGCAGGTTTTTGGGATAACCTGTAGGTCAGCTGTTCAAACCCAGGTGTGAGGACTCTTCAGCCAATCAGTCCTCTAATTAGTAATCTAATTAGGGAGTTGCAGCGAAAACCCTCATACACACCGGCCCTTTGTGGATAAGATTGGCCACCCCTGGTGTAGCTGAAGCCAGCTCAGCGTTATTTGCTGAAATGGGGCCATTGTGATGTCACTGGAGTCACTTGATATATATACAATAAATCCCAGTGTTCAGTCCAGTCAATTTTCAGTTACCGAGCTATATTTCTGTATCATCTCTATCTGTATCTGGTTGTGAGGTGAGTAAATATGATTTCTGTGATGGGATATTGGATATATTCCTTTAAAACATTATTGATTATATTGAGTAACATATATTTAGTTAGTTGTATAGTTTAAGTACTGCTAGTAAGTGTTCACATTAGATTTTGTCGTGTTTTGTGTGTGAGTCTTTGTCCTGTGATGACCTGGCATAGCGTCTCAGGGGCTCCCTGCTTAGTGCCTCGTGGACTTGGTTCCAGGCTCATTGTGGTCCCACGCGGAATAAGCAGATATGGAAAATGGGTGGATGGATAGATATGGAATATTGATGATATTCCATGGATTATCACTTGTTCTGTGTGTATGTTTGCGTTGAAATTTGTTGCCATTTTTTTACAACTAGCTGCAACGTGATAAATATTTACAGTATTCCTTGAAAAAATAATAGATCTTAAGTTCATAGTACAATAGTGATACAAGGTAGGACCAATGAAAATGTAGCTTTGCTATAGGCTATGCACAGCTAATATGGAATTGACACAAGAATAATTCTAAAAAAATAAGGCTGACAAAAATTAATTTGTTACCAGCATCCTATCTATCTATCTATCTATCTATCTATCTATCTATCTATCTATCTATCTATCTATCTATCTATCTATCTATCTGTCTGTCTGTCTGTCTGTCTTAATTGCTGTTCACTTAATTCCTCTAACACTAGTGAGAAGATGCATCGGTGCCATTGTCCCACTGCCACAACGACGGCTGGGATAATACTTGCAGATTGTGTAATATGTATAGCTTATACAGAACAAAAAGCTACTACAGAACATTTCTTCTATACACTTTTATAACAATGGTTATTCTGCAGACTGGCTTCGAAAATTACAGGATTAACATTTGTCGTTGTGGAGGTGGTCTTTTCTGCTCACTTATAACGTTTCATAGACCAAAGAGTAGCTCTCTCTTACCGCAAAAATTAAATTAAAATACAAGATAAAATAGAGGTATTAATTCTTGGAATGCAGAATGACCGCATGAAACTCGTTCACGTCCTAATTGGGCAACAGAGGCTCCATTCTCTGCGTGGCGGGTCCCCATTCTGCTCACGCCATTTGATCTTTAACAAAATGAAAATGAATGGTCAGACCCTGCTTTCTCACATCAGGTGAATGAAACCCAGCAGTTATTTCAGCTAAAATCGTTAACTAAATAAGAAAAAAGCCACGACAGTCAACAATAGTTAGACTTTAAGAATTAAGATTATCAGGGTCTGTGAAAAGTTAAATAATTTCAAAATACAATGAGGGATATGTTAGGTTTAATTATTAAACGTAGTTATGTGGCATGGGGCACATTCCAAAGGCAACAGGAGCGTAACTGTATATCACTCAAATTACATCATTATGAGAACGGTAGTTTCATTTGTGCTCCTTTTCTTAAGAAGCATTCATCCACGCCACATTAAATGCTCGTCGTTATCTCCTTCAGAAGTCTGTTTTAGCTAAATATCCATGTGATTCTTGTTTGCCCATCTCACTGTTTTCCTGTGTTTAGGATGTCTCTACCAGACTACCCTGCCCCAGAGCTGGAGGTCACTCTGAAGGAGGCCAGCCGTGTGCTTCAGCTCACTCTGAGTCCAGAGCGATACCCCCAGTACATAAACGCCCTACAGTGTGAAGAGGAGGCTCTGCAAGAGGCCCATCAGCGAATATCTGCTGCCATCAAAGGCTGCGAGAACTGGGCCACGGCACAGTTCAAGAGCTACATTCTGTCTTGCCGCGACTCTTTGCCCTCTTCCAGGTCCATCCCCATGATCCTGCCTCCCATGGAGGCCGCCGAGCGAGACGGCGTGCAGCTGGAGCGGACGGCCACCCTGCTCTGGGCTGCGGCCAGGCTGCACAGCGAGCCTTGGCAGGTGGAGAGAGACGAGCCAACTGAACGAACCCAGCAGTCAGAAGTATTCGCTGCCACCCGCATACCTGGAAAGAGTCAGGATCACATTCAGGTTTGGTCCGTCTGCTAAAGGACGGTCCCACGATACCGGGCCTATACATTTCAACATATTGACCTCAAATCACATGACCAGTCATTGGTCGTGATCTGGCATTTTCCCCTTCCACCAAAAACTGAGCCAGACTGCGAAAGACGGTTTTCCAGTTTTCCAGTGTAAATTACGCGAGCCGTACCCGCCGTACTAATAGTAGGGCCGAAAGCACGACAAAACCAAGCTGATTGCATCAGTATCATCTGATTGGTCAAAATGCACGATGACAAGAAATAAACAGTGATCTATGTTGATATGCATGGATTAGTAGCATCGCACATCACAATGTATTGATATATGCTCCATGACTCGGAACTTGAGAATTTCCAACCTACTACTTGAAAAAGTACTATAGAATAGCTGAACGGAATGAATTCGTTATGCAAGCTAACGCTAAATATGCTAGTGTTTGATGCTAACATGACACGATGATTCTCACAGACGTTCTAGTGGAAATTAGCACATAGTAAATCATTACGTACACTGTGCGAACAGAACATAAGCATCTCTGCAGTTTTGCGTTACTGTTGCTCTCCCAACCCTGCAGCAGCTTTACTGAGCTGACTGAGCTTCAGCAGTGGAAAACTGAAGTGATCTGGAACTGTGCCATAACTAGTGTCTCCTCATGGTGAGGCTCAGGCACGGCCTGGTTCCTGTATGTCAGTGGAAAACTGAAGTGATCTGGAACTGTGCCGTAACTAGTGTCTCCTCATGGTGAGGCTCAGTTACGGCCTGGTTCCTGTATGCCAGTGGAAAACTGAAGTGATCTGGAACTGTGCCGTAACTAGTGTCTCCTCATGGTGAGGCTCAGGCACGGCCTGGTTCCTGTATGCGAGTGGAAAACACAACAAAACAAAACAAGAACACCCTCTGTTGTACATGATTTCTGTAAACTGATTTCAATAAAACAAAGTGTTTTCTTGCCTGACTGGTGTGCTTATGAATTATTGGACATTCTGCATGATTGTCCTGCTTCAGGTGTATCCCGAGAGCCTCCACGCCATCCTGCTTTGTACAGGAGGAATTTTCCCCATTCAAATCCTGCACCAGTCACACCCAGGGGAACCGATGTCACCACTGTCTGTGAATGACATCTACACCCAGCTAGCGGAGGCAGCACGCCAGCCGGGGGCGGCCAGGGGGCTAGAGCCTTCGCCATTCTGTAGCCTGTCAGCCCTGCCCCGACATGAGTGGTGTGCCGCGCGGGAGAAGATCCAGATGGGAGGTGAAGCTATGGCGGCATCGCTTGGGCTGATGGAGAGCGCAGTGCTGGCTGTCGCCCTTGAGGACTGCTGTGCACCAGCCAAACTGGCCGAGACCCTCAATGTCGTGAGGCTGGGCAGAGGGGACGGCCACTGCCTCAGATATTACGATAAGGTATGGGGTGCCGTACTGCTGAAGATCATGTCGTAATTGATCTTTGCGGTTGCCTATGAAAACTCTGATCTGTCCCTATTTTCCTGTGATTATAGAAGGACCAACCATTCATTTTACAAGTTTCCTGATTGTCATGGAAAAGCAAAGAAATTTGGCCTTGTTCTCCGTTTTGCTAGCATAGTGGGAAATTGACAATAGTCAGGTAGTCAGATTTAATTTTGCTGATGGTCTTGTTCATATATTATTCTGTCGTTACCCAGGTGGTGAATTTGGTGGTGTTCCAGGACGGTGTCGCTGGCATGCTGTTTGAGCACAGTGCTCTGGATGGAATGGTGGCTGGACTCATCACTTATAGTGTTTGGTGTGTTTCCGAATCACTGACCATAGACCCCAACTCACCACTGTCAAGGACTATTGGATCACCCAACCCTAGAACCCTATTTGCTGCAAAGCCACTCAATGTTGACGTCACCAACCTTCTCCATTCATCCCCGAGTCCTTCCCCTAAAGACACTAATGTGATTGTCACATTCGAAATTCCATCTTACCCAGACTTCCTTGCCACTCTTCGAAGTCAGAGGGCCCTATTTGATGCGTGGGTCAACTTCTCCTTGCAGCTGGCTCTCAGGCAAACTGTAGGAGACTCAGCCATGAGCTACATCTTTGTCACGCCTACCCACATGCGTCACTACAAACATGGCCGCTGTGATCCAACTTATCCCGTCACCACACAGTCCAGGCATCTAGTTGGAACTCTGATGTCCTGTATGGGCACAAGCCAATCTGCCCCATATACGAAGGCACTTCTTCGCCTTTTTCATGTAGCTTTTCAGGAGCACAAACGTCTGATTAAGGTCACCAAGAAGGGCCAGAGTGTAGGGCCACATTTAGCTGCCTTGCACAGGGCCTTGTCCCCTGGAAACCCTCTTAGAAAGTTCCTGGATCTTTTCGTCGGTCCATCTGTTTACGTCACGGGAAAAGATATCACAGAGGGGTTGAATGGTGCAGTGGGAAATGTATATGCCTCTGACCAGCTAGCTCTGACGTACCTTGGGAAGAAGGACAGCATCTGTCTGGCCATCAACGCTAAAGGCAGCTTTGCCAACATCCTAAGTCAGCTTCAGGAGAATTTACAGGAAGACCTCAAGGTGATGAAGTTTCTGGCCCTTAGATATGCCATTGCTGGACAGATGGAAGCCATTGATTGCTTGCTGGAGCAAGAGGAGGTAGAAGGACTGGGTGGAACTGATTGCGGTGGCTTACAAGTGCAGTTTAGTCATCAGGGGTCAGGCCAAGCTGACCAGAAGGGGGTCCCCCCCGATGCTATGCTGAATTCTGATTTCACTTTGATCATCCATGGTGGAGCAATGGAGGAGATGCAAATGGATGAGAATATTGTGGGCATGATTCAATTTTCTCTGCAGGCAGCTTTAGTCCTCGGGACACAAGAGCTCGCAGGAGGGGGACGCAGTCTCAACGCAGTTCAGAAATGTGTGGCTGCACTGGAAAACTGCTTCTTGTTTAATGCTGGTAAGGGCTCCGTGTCGAACAGAGGAGGGAGGCATGAAATGGAAGCGACCATAGTGGACGGCACTGGTTTGAAATCCGGGTCGGTGGCTTGTGTGCACGGTGTGAAGAACCCAGTAAAGGCTGCACGGAAAGTCATGGAGAACAGTCCACATGCGTTACTCGCCGGACAGGGTGTGGTGGATTTTCTGAGCGAGTTCGGAGAAAGCGATGAACTTGCAGGGGTTGAGTACTTCCAGAGCAGTATATGGAAGGAGCTTTCAGCACAGAGCGTTGGTGGCAATGCTTGGCCACAAAGTGTGGGAGCTGTCGCTCTGGATTGCTGGGGAAATCTGGCCGCTGCGGCTTCCACAGGTGGGACGATTGGCGAACGGAAAGGTCGAGTAGGGCACACGGCGGTGGTGGGGGCAGGGGTTCATGCGGACGGCACGTTAGCCGTGGTTTGCTCTGGCAACGGAGATCTGTTACTGAGCCGTATGGTGGCTCATAAAGTGGCCAGTCTCTATCATGACATGGACTTCAGCTTGCAGGAGGCTTGTCAGAGGGTCATATCTGAAGACCTGAGAGGAAACTGCAGCGGAGTAATTGCTGTTAATAACAAGGGAGACATTGTTATCAAAAACAACGCTGGGGTGATGTTCATTGGATCAATGATTGGAGGTGAAGAACATGTCGAGGTGCTAAAACCCATCGCGTGAGGTTGAGAAGTGGGTTACACTCGGATGCAGAAACAATGAGTCGGTCAAACCTGTTGCTGCATAACAAGCAACAATGTAATGAAATGTAAATCTACCCAGTTTTGAGTATTTCAAGGTACATTGATCCTTTAACTGCATAATAACTGTACTATACATGAAGTGAGTATATGAGTGCATGTTATAAGTATTTTTTTTCTTTTCTGTGCTTTTAGTCTCAAATGCCAAATATTAAATATTATAGACTGACTAGAATATTGTTGTCTTTGGGTAAAACAGCATTAAATGTTTTGTCAAAATGCCATTAAGTGTAGAAGTGTTGGCTTCCACTCTGCCATGCAATCAATCACTCTCCACCTTCTCGTCAGTATTCTAACACAGAAGGAGAAGAAGAGGAAGAAGAAAAAAACGATTCTAAAATGTCGCCTTTTTAAACAATTCCTGCACCTGAATCATTCATCTGCACATTTTTTATTTATAAATGATATAACAAAGACAAGATACCCAAACATACTAAATTTAAATAGGAAAAAACAATTTCCCCCTATTTCTGACTTGGCAAAGACCTAAGAGTCAGGTCCCTGCTCATCCATTTAAAAACAAGCCAAGTCCAAGCCACTGCAGTCTTTCATTTATTGTCTTCTTCAACTTTTCTACCGAAATACTGCAGCTGGAACTGCTGAAACTCTTTCTCTGTGAAAAGGGACATTTTCTCCTTCGGTTTCTTGGCAGGAGCATCAGGCCGATGGCGGGATTGCCGGCTTTTGTTCTGAAGCAGTATCTGTTTGGTTAATGAAAGTCAGTTAGTGGTTATCATCATCATCCTAAATACAAGCACTTAATGTGTAGACATGGGACTGAAAAACTGTCTTTCCTACCACTGCAACACTGTATGCTGGATAGTGATCATTTAAAAAACTTTTTAAGCAAAATGTATTTCGACACATACTACATACACATCATGATATACGGACAAAACCACATGCAAAAACCATTCCAACCTTTGCTGTGTCCGATTGAGTCGGTCTGCATTCTGTTCCCCGGAAATAGGCTAAATTTTTACTTAGATGGCTCTTTTGTGTTTTCAGAAATTCCTCTTAAACAAAAAAAAACACAAAGATATTAGATACTCGTCGTTTTTTTTTTTTTTTTTTTTTTAAAAAGTATATTAAGTCTATGGTCTCACTACAATAAAATCCAGACATCCATCTATTTTCCAAGCACTAATCCAGTAGAGGGTTATGGTGAACCTGGAGCCTATCCCAACCAGGACAGGCAGAAACACACTGGAAAAACACGCTACTAAGAATTTACAGAGACCGGTTTACTTTACTACATGTCTTTGGACTGCGGGAGCAAACCCACGCCAACTTAACATACTCAGAAACGGTGCACAAACACTTCAGGGAAAAAAGACACCAACCAACTGCAGATTTAATCCGCTTGTCCTTAACCGTGGCCTGATTCTTAGCTGAGCCTGGTCGTCCACGGAGTCGGCGGAGCTGTTTGGTGACACCTTGCTTGTTGGAACTGATGTGATCTTTCTTATCTCTGATTCTTTCTCGTGGTTTGAGCTTCTTTTTACTCTTCCGGCCACCGACAGCATCTCGGGTAGTATAAAACCAGAAGGAAAATTAAAATAAGAAACGCGTGGAGATCAAGAAATATAAAAACAGCAAAGCTGAGTTGATGGGTACAGGAGGTATGACGTATAACGCCAACAAAGTGGCAAAGAAAACCTGCGCCACAGTTTTACGCCACCAAAACTGCGTATAGTCAATTTAAATATTTACTGGACTTGATTTACGTCTGTCATTATCTTTATTCGATACTTATTAAATCTGCCATATCTATAGATAGATAAAATTTGCTTTGCCTCCCCCCCAACAATTTAAACCCCGCATGGATTAATGTTAATGTTTACCTTTTATGTCATCGCTTAAAAGCTCAAGTCCTCGCCTGATCATTGAAGCAGACATGTTTTCGTGAAATAACGTACCCTCCCCTTTGGAATAAAACGGCAATAATGTTTATTTTCATTCAGCTAAACCACACACATTACCCATACGTTCCTAACACACGAGAGTTTAACTTCCGCTGCCGCTTCTTCTTCGTCGTCGGTTTAGCCTTTACTTGTGTGATCTACTGGCTTGAATTTTGCATACTGCCACCTGCGGGCCATGGTTCGCAAAACAATTACAGACATTCAGCAAATAACCGGTGTCGGTTAATATTATTAGTAATAATAATAATTATGATAGTAATAATAATAATCGACCGGATAAACAGTTTTGAAACTGGGTGTATATAAATTGCGGGTAGGCCTATAATCAAAATAGGGGTCGGTATCTCTGAAGTGAACTTTATCTAACATGCAGTTACGCTCCCATACACATTAAAGCGCATCGATCTCGTTGTGTGCCTTATACCTTCCTGCTCATTCATTTCCGTCTGGAAAATCGGGGATGGCGCACATTCAAACGGTGGCTTTGGTAGGGGCAAGGTGGCTTGCAAACACCGTCAAAAGTAACGGGGTCGGACCCGGTCTTCGCATCTTGGATGTCTCTTGGTATATGCAGAAATTAAAACGCGACGCAAAGAGGGAGTTTAAACTTAAACATGTACCAGGGGCTGCTTTCTTCGACATAGACAGATGCAGCGACCAAACCTCTCCTTTCGATCACATGCTGCCCAGTGAAAGCCAATTTGCGGATTATGTTGGAAGCTTGGGGGTCGGGAACAAAACGCACGTCGTGGTTTATGACACCAGCGACTGGGGCTGCTTTTCTGCCCCGCGGGTTTGGTGGATGTTCCGGCTCTTTGGGCACGGTTCGGTGTCCGTGCTGGACGGTGGGCTGAAGCGCTGGCTCCAAGAAGGACACCCTGTCACCAGCGGATACCGCAAGCCCGAGCCCGTCGACTTCCAAGCCAGGATGAACCGCTCCTGGGTGAAGACGTACGAGGACGTCTTGGACAATTTGGACCGCAAGGTGTTCCAATTAGTGGACGCTAGACCGTGCGGCCGGTTTCGTGGGATCGACCCAGAACCCATGGACAGTACGTACCAACCGTCCCTGCATTAAAAGAAATGCACACAACAGGTTCCACGAACGGATCCTTTGTTTATAACCAAACGATTGCAATTGCATGCCATTGTGCGTGTTTCCTTAAAGTTTGAAAATTGGGATGTGTTAAACTTACAAACAATGGTTTGATACCGCTACTTGAAACGCGGCAGATGCGAGGAGTCTTGTAGGGGATATTATTCACATGATAGTCTTTATTAGTCTATTAATCTTTTAACTCAGTTATACCCCAGTTAGCAGGGTAGATCATTTTTAAAAGGGCTTGAACTTTGTTTAGAATAAAGTCTTTGGAACCTCATTGTGCACAATTAGTACTTACGTAGCTAATCAACGGCGATGAAGTCTAGGTGGTCAAATTGCATCAATATTTCATTCTGAACTAAAATTTTAAAGTTCAGAATGTTAGCAAGTTTAACTCTGCTTTTAAGCACTCAGCTGTGCAGCAGGAAACAATATTTAGTCTAATATTACGGCCCGTATCCGTAGACGGCAGTATGTTATGCAGTCAGTGCCTCAAAATGTATCATGAAGCTAACTGAGTATCTATCGGTACAGAAACATTTCATTTGTAAATAGTCTCAATAGAATGTGCATGCAGTAACCTCTGGTGAATGACATGAATACATTTTTTAAATACTGTTTTTTCTTCATATATATGTCAGCTTTTTCTCTGCATCTGGGACTGCATGGAATAGTACTTCTTTACTTTCCATTTGCATACTTGTGGTACTGTGTATAAGCACATGGTGACGTTGGCGGTGCCTAACAGGGCGGCCAGGCCCTGACACACAGGAACATCATCCCACATCACGCACATGTGATTAATGTAGGGGCCCTATGACCGTCAGCAGTGCCAATCACCATCCTTCCTTGGGCTCCCTGTCACCTCCCTCCGCCTTCCTTTAACAGACACTGAGCCCGGCCATATTCCTGGCTCTATCAGCATGCCATTCTCCTCCTTCCTGGATCCTTCCGGTCGTCTGCGTCCCACCAAGGAGCTGACGGCGCTCTTCCGGTACGCCGGGGTGGACCTGACGCGACCCGTCTGTGCATCCGGAGGCTCAGCGATAACCGCCTGTCACGTCGCACTGGCTACCTACCTGTGCGGCCACCAGGGGGCGTCGGTGTATGACGGCGGCTGGTCCGAGTGGTACGCCAGGGCCCCGCCGGAGTACGTCATCTCCGAGGGGAGGGGAAAACACATTTTCCGGGGACTGCGGGGTGAGGGGCTGGGGATGACAGGCTAACAGATACACAGCATGTAAACACTCAATGGGTGAAGTTCTTCTATTCTATGTACATGATTTTAGAGTATCCAGCAGTTTAAAGGTTGCTGAGGTGTCAGAAAGCCTTTGTTAGTAATACCTCTGTGTTTCATTACTGAGTAGATCACTGATAACAAGAGTCCACGCACCGGAGGCTAAGTTCTGCTAGAGGATGTCTGTGAAGTTCACTGCACACTGCATTTCTAACTAATAATAAAGGTTTGCAAGAACTAAGATATTTAACATTGAAGAACAGAAGAATATGTTATAACAGGGTCTTCGATCAATATTATTAGATAAATGGGTTTTTTTCTGGAAGCAACATGCTCAGGAGAGGAATTTTATCTGATGGGACACATGGCGCCTCAGGCTGAGACCAAGGTGTGTATTGGCAGTGTTTGGAATCACTATCTCTGGAGTGGGGGGGGAGGGGTTGTCTGTCTCCAGTACAAAACCAACGAAACAGCAGCGGATCTCGATGCTTTTTTTCAAGAGGCAGTTGTGTCCTGTAAGATAGGGGTTCGCAACCTTTTGATGTCTGCAGACTGGTTTGTGTCATACAGAAATTTCAGTCGACAGTTTCATGTTTAACTATTCATTTGTGAACTAAACACAGTGGCGTCAGGGGGACGTTAAAAAATACATAGTTCATTTTTGGAAATTATCCAACGCCTCCACAACACCCCCAGAGTTCCTCGGTCTGGGGGTCGGGAGCCCCTGTCTGTTGGTGTTTCAATGCATCGCTAAGCCTACAGAGATACAGATGTTCATGAACGGATGTACTGGCGATGAGCCGTTTGAGCCATTCCTTTACCTAATCAAAAGTATGGAAGGTGTTTTATGTTGGAAGTTGATGCTGCCAAAGTGTAAGAAATGAACGCAGTAAATAATCTGGTCATACGAGTATAAACGAGAGATATGGACAACGGTGCCAGATGAACCACACAAACAGCCACTGCTGACATAAAAATCGATTCTACCACGTTTCCCCTTGTGCTTTGAATCCCCTTTTATATTAATTTACTTGGCTCACGTTTTATTTATGGACGGTGCTCCGGCAGTGAGGTTCGACTCCCGGGCCCTGGTGGTGTCGGCCTGCAGGCAGCTTATCTGTGCGCTCACGCCTTGTTATCGGACTCTGCGGGTCCAGCCCATTGACTGGCTGAAGAGATACTGCATCTTACTGGAATGAGCCCTCTCCAGTATAGGACTCCCAAATCTATCCTAAACACACGCAGGAATGAAGGGCAGTACCTCTGTTTCTCATGGCCTTTGACCTTTAAGCCAATGCTTGAACAAACACCCAACAAATTTCATGGCACAATGGAGTTTTAGTTTCACACCAACGAGGCGTTCTCAGATGCTCCGCTCTTGTACTTTTGCATACCTGAATGCATTTGGTCATGGCTCTCAAATGTCACAAGTGTCCGTTGAAGATGGACATCTGGTATTGTTGGTCAGAAGCAAAAGTCCTTCAGTTTTCCTTGAATTAAATTTCCTTTTATTTTTGTTCTAGATTTGGATTATATTGGACTTTTTACGTCGTAATGTAGGGTTTAAATAAATGGACTTTTTTTGCAATCACATGAAACAAAAACAGTGTCCATTTCTCTTGACTGTAGTAACTGTTTTGACTACTTTATTTGTTCAGATCAGTTCTGATCTTCATTCCTTCTGAGATTGACTATAAAATAATTAAATCCCTGTAATACTGAGATCTGTTAAGCTGTGGACATTGTCATCCTTAATGCATATATCTATCCTCCATAGCTACATTTCTTTTTTTTATCAGTTGCTTTTATCCAAAAAGCTGTGTTAAACTGAGCAAGCACGGTTAATGGCTTTTATCATGCACCCGATGGTGAAACCGTTCTGATTTTATCGGGTACAGAATGAGCTATTTAAACAATAATGTTCCCTGACCGGGAATCGAACCCGGGCCGCGGCGGTGAGAGCGCCGAATCCTAACCACTAGACCACCAGGGATACTACTTCCTGGTTTATGATTACAAGGAACAGAGACGTGTCAAGAGTGTACTGCTTTTTGTCAAATTGTTCCAGAAGAGGGCAGCAAGCGACTGACTCTCACATACGCACTATGGCCAAAAGCAGGTGTACTTTATCGATCCCAAAATAGAACCGAAAGGTTCCACCGAGATTTGAACTCGGATCGCTGGATTCAGAGTCCAGAGTGCTAACCATTACACCATGGAACCATACTTGCGTTGTTACTGTAAAACATTATTTAGGCCTACATGAAATTACATACATTTATTTATTTTATTTTGAGGGTGTACGGAGAAAATATTTCACAGGGTAAACATTACTAACAATGTAGAAGTGCCAGTCCCTCTAGATTGCTTATCTTTGTAACCTGCGAAGAGCGAGAGTATGCAAAAGCTTAGGGGGCTGCGGGTGTGAGACCGCAATGATGCACTTGTACAGTAATTTACACTGACAAGGTTTCTGTGATCCAGTATTTAGCCACATTAAAACTGAGACAGACGCACATTAAAGGCATAATGAAATCCCAAAATCACCCCCGAAACGCATGCCGGGACTATGAATGCAAATCAAAAAACCCACAAGAACGAGCAAATTTCCAAGATATATTTGGGAGCAGATGTCACGTGGTCCTCCCCCCTCGACACGTAGCCTAATTCAGACTATCGCACTCTGCTTCCCATCTGGCATAAAATTTCGACACTCCTGCTAAAATCAATCACAGACCACAACCCTGTCTCAGACCACCGGGATTGAGATTTGCAGGTGTTATGCCGAAAAACGCATCCCTGCCGAAAAACGCATCCCTTGCCTTAGAATGCCAACAGGTGTTGCGCCGAATTCTGCACCCCTGCCGTGAAATGCACCCCCTGTCGGGAGCGCGCACCGCTCTTTTCTTCGATTCTAAGGGGGAAAAGACGTAGTTCCGTCAATCTAATTATGCAACGAAATATTAAATTTCGCTTGCACATTTAGAAGACCTTTATCACTGTTTTACTTCACGAAGGCTGCATTTAACCCAAATAAAAGTTATAAACTGTGACATGTAGACGATGAGCCCCGAACGAGAACGTAGGTTATTTATTTATCTCGTCATCAGTTTACTATTTGAGAACAAGGAAGTCCTTGGCTTTAATAACCAAAGAAAATCACACAATATTATTCCTTATACTTATAAAATAATTTATTTTTCTCCACAATGAAGACAATGTTCTGGTACAGTGATCTGAAATACCTAAACAAAAAAGATATTTGTCTTTAAGACGGCTAACCTGGCAGGAAATTAATTTCCATTCTTCCCTTTAATTCTATCACGAAATGCTGTTAGCAACCGACATATTTAAAGAAATAGATAACAATTACTGGATTTCATGAATGCCATATCACGTCCAGCATGTGGGGTGAGGGGGGGTTCATTTTACGGCAGCTTAATATACTTGTTTCGTATTTAAGAAACTGGCTCAGTAACTGTGTTATTAGTACCTTACAAAGTTCGCACTGTTTATTGATGTTGGTCTATTCTGCAGATTTATCAAAAGCAAATAAGGAGAAGATCAACTGACATGAATATGCAGGGGAGGAGGGGAGCGCGTCCTTATGCATAAGGGAATACGCCCTTTTCAAATCTAGCTGCACTGAAACTAAATTTGTGAAGCTTGCTCAGATAACAACTTTAGGTCCACTGTGTGTATTATAAAAAAATATGATCTGATCATCTAAGACAAAAATGCAGGGTACCTGCCGGGAATTGCACCCCCAACAATTCTGGTTCTGTTTGTCCTACATAACTGAAATTTGCTCAGGTAGTACAGTTTCATACACAGAGAGTACTGTCCAAAGCGTTTTGGGATATAATCACCAGAGACAAAGATACAGGGGGGTGCCAGAATTCGACACAACAGGTGTTCCGACTAGTTGAGCTTTTAAGGGTTTTTTAGGGGTGTTTTGGGGGTTAGGGTTTTAGAGGTTTTTTGGGGGTTAGGGTTAGAGTTTTACGAGTTTTTTTTGGGGCTATTGATTAGCACTACGCTAGCCTTACTCGACAAAGTAGCTCAACTCGTTTCAGATCAGCGACCAATCGGTCATTTTGGTTGTGTGTCCGGGGATAATGAGCAGGAATACAGGGGGGTCATCACTGACTTTGTGAACTGGTGTGAGGAAAACCACTTGCTACTGAACACCAGTAAGACAAAGGAGCTGGTGCTCGACTTCAGAAGGAACGCTTCAGTGCATACTCCTGTGAGCATCCAGGGCTCGGACATTGAGATTGTGGACACTTTTAAATACCTGGGTGTTCACCTGAATAATAAATTGGACTGGTCAACAAACACAGTTGCCCTGTATAGGAAGGGCCAAAGTCGCCTCCACCTGTTGAGGAGATTGAGGTCCTTCGGGGTGTGCAGAGAACTCCTACAGACTTTTTACGACACAGTAGTGGCCTCAGTAGTTCTCTAAGCTGTTGTGTGCTGGACAGGGAGTAGCTCGGACAGAGACAGGAAAAAACTTAACAAGCTTGTTAAAAAAGCTGGCTCTGTCCTGGGCTGCACACTGGACACCATCGAGGAGGTGGCGGACAGAAGGATGATATTAAAATTGTCATCCATTATGGATAACCCCTCCCACCCCCTGCACCACACTGTGGAGGCTCTGAGCAGCTCCTTCAGCACAAGACTGTTACACTAGCAAAGGCCAGAAGGAGCGCTTCCGTCGATCATTCCTCCCCACAGCTATTAGACTTTACAACACATCACTGCAGTGACCACATAATCAGTATATATAATCCCTGTATATGTACATATGTGTGTATATATATGTATATGTGTGTGTGTATATATGTATGTATGTATATATATATATATATATATTTCAGCAGCTGTTATCCATATACCTAGCATTGTGTATATGTTTCTTTTTTTTCTTACATTTTTACTTATATATTTTTACAGTTTTAGAAATTGTTTTCTATTGTTTTTATTATCTGTATTGTTATTTTTTTGCTGATCCTATGGATCCTGTCCTTTTTTGTACTGTCTTTTTTCATTATTGCTGCTGTTTTCTCAAAGAATTTCCCCATTGTGGGATTAATAAAGTCTAATCTAATCTAATCTAATCTAATTTAGAGACAGGCATGCATTCTACGGCAGGGATGCCTTTTTCGACATAACACCGAAAATAAAACAGCGGTACTGCAGAAACAGTACTGATTTGCTGTTCTGGAGACCAGGGTTTGACCATATTCTCCTCGTGGAGAACCACGTGGAGTAGCCAAATTACCTGATCCTTGGTATGAATGGTGTGTTTGTGATGTCAGCTCGCCCCTTTTTTCCAAAGGCACCTTTTCCAAGGGTCTTTCCTTGTGGGAAGAAACTCTATTGCAGCAATTTAAATACGTTTTCTCTTCAGAAATTCCTTTCAGCATTTTGTTTCGGCCAGATGCCGTAGGTTATTAATGGCCACTATATGTTTACTGTGATTTTATTTTAGCAGAAACGAGACATTTCCTATTGTAACAAATTGCCTTTCACTGATACTCATCTGAAGAGTGTGAAGTCGTTGTGTTTTAACGTTCAGTTAAAAATAAAGCAAATAAGAAAGCTGAACAGTTTTAAAACACTGCATACTCCTACGTGCTATTTTGGCCTCCTTTTGGTCGCGATTATACCTGGTTGGTGGTTATGTGCAAAAAAAGCGATATGAACAGGTTGAAGGTAACATTTAAAATGAAACGTCTGCTCTTACTAAACAGGAAAAGAAACCGAGAAAATGGACCGCAGGTGGGGGGGGGGGGGTTGGGGGGAACATCTGAAACGAAAGACAGAAGGGATTTTTTCACAAGTATTGTCAACTTATTGAAGATGCGACAATGACGTGGTTTCAAAACTAAGCCGCAAAACTGATTTTTCAGAAGTTAGCTGGCAACATGCCGGTTGTTATCTTGGAAACGAGGAGAGATCAAGGAGTTTTTCTGTAGACGATCAGTACGAGCAGCGTGAGTCACAGAGTGACGAATCACGGGGCTTTAGGAAAAATCACCAGGCTTAGCGGCCATGCAGCCAGCGCGGATATACAAGTGCGTCACTAAAAGGTTATAAATTTCCAGTAGGCCTATAGTTAATTACGTGACGTTGTTCTAGTGTACAATATATTGGGATATATTCATTAGTCCAACTCTACAGACGGACAAACAAGTTTTTAGTTATCACTAACTATCGACTTCAAACTATCGACACTGCATTATTATATTAATGCAGTGTCTCATATCAATCATATAAAAGAAAAAAAATGCAGCCAATTACGCCTAGTCGTGTAGGCAAATTGTGGTAGGAGTTTCTTTCCAACTACTCTATAGTTTCCTGTGATCTTCTAGGGTTACAATGAGCAGTTTTTCTTCCGTTAAACGCAGATTTGTTTGAAGAAACAGCCCGCGTCAGGTGGCACCATCGTACCTCCGAAACCCCCACGGCTGCTTCAGCTAGCGATCAAAGCAGCGGAGGGTGAAGGAGCGTGAGACCGCAGCGCATCCTGGGAAGCCCGACTTTCTGCAGTTCGTGCGTCTTTCTAACGGAGCTTCAAAGCGCGACCTGCTTTTATCCCAGATGTATAACCGCTGAAATAAAAACTCTAGATGGCAGCAAAAAGAAGTGAACACTTAAAGATGAAGTCGTACAAAGGAAGGACAGACTGTTCGGTTCTACGCGACTTTAATGGATAAGAAGATAAAATGCTCAAACATGGCACATATATATCAAATAGTTGCTCGTTAACACCTATAGCAGCTGCATGAAACTATTGAAATAGATTGCCAACAATACTTTAATATCTGGTACATTAAATTGGTCACTTGGGCTTAACGTACAAACACTTTTCTACTCACCACCACAAGAGAGACGAACAGTTAAGTAGTGAACAGTTGTCCCCTAAGATATAGTCACTGGAGTATGCATCACCTATGCCATCCCTGGGGACATGTTGCTAGGACAAAGTCGGTCTGTGGAAAGAGCATACAATTACGCCTGCCGTTGACGATGCAACTCAGACATTCATCCCCTATAAATTAGCAGATTAAAACGTTGTGTTGGCAGTGGCGAATGGTGAAAAACAGAATACCAGGATGAGCATTTCAGGTTGAGTTGTTAAGAAATATTGATCCACAATGAACTTTGGATTTACAAATAAGAGGGGCTTCCTTCCCTTGTGGTGTCCATTTGCATGGCATGGCAGAACGTGTTTTTTTTTTCTCTTCTCTTGTTGGAGATGGACCTTCTAAAATAGTATGATCTAGGTAGGCATGGCGCTGGAGAACGGGTCAGTAGAACTGAAGTCACGTGATGTATGGACTGCGTCCATTCCGACTATGAAGGAGGAAAATCACGTAAGCGTTTATAACCAGCTAATTTAAGGCGCAGACGCTGCTATATAACCGGAGTAACAGGAAGAACGCTAACAAGCACAATATTACAAATTAAATAACCCCTCGTGTAATACAGGAATTTAACTGAATGTTTATTATTATTGTTATTATTGCTTTTAGTAACGATATTAGTATTTAGTAACGTTTGGTCCTCTTGAAAAGGTTTCAGTTAGGTATTTTCATGTAAACAGGCAAGACGTGTAGTAGAATACACTGCATGCGCAACCTAGTCATGTCCTATGCTTGTAATATCTCTTTAAGTTGGTTAACTGGTGCAGTATGTATTTTCTCGGGTGAAAAGGTACCATTGTGCTGAAGTATGTCTCACCGACAGATATGTACACAAACATATGGCCTATAACCATTAATGACATACACACATTTTTCCAGATGCAAGAACATTAAATAAGTCTGCTTCAGGTATACAGCAAAATAAATACAACTCTGCATAGTTGCCTGCAGATTGTTGGTTCCTTACACCCCGCCTTAAAAAACTAGCATAGACCAGTACAACCAGCATGACGCATGCTGTTTATACCAACATATGCTGTGTTTTGGTGCTGGTGGACCAGCTTCATGTGCAAATCATGCTGGTATATGCTGTTTTTTTCAGCAGAGTATGCAGATGATTAAAAACGATGGTTGCCTGCTCGTTCTGTGATTCTTAGTGGGGCTTAAAATAATCGTCCTGCTTCCTGTTGTGCTGGAGCTAAAAATCTGCTTCTTCTTTTACACAGACGGAGGCGAATCGCACCAGCGCTCCATCACCTTCACGGGGACGGAGGCCTCCCAGGTGGCTGGTAGCTGTCCCTCCAGTCATACTCATCGTCATCCTTGCTGGGGGAGGCTTCCTTGCCTGGTACTTTCTAGGTAGGCAGGAAACGGAAATGGAAAGAAAGGTCACACCATATTATAGCTCTCGTCCCCATTTGAGTTTGATACTCAGAACGCGCAGTAAGCTGTATCTCTTCACGATCTTGATATTTTCAGTTGACCGCAGTCATTTATTCCATCCCTCTTCATGTTCACTCTGGCCAGTTTATTAGAAGCACCTGTTAAACTTGTCAACGCTAGCAGGAAGGTCACAAGTACAAAAATAACTGTTTGGTACATTGGGGGGGGAAGGGGGGGGTGCATCTATCCACAGCTGAAGTCATTTGAAAATGTTTCATTTCAAGGGGCGCATTTCTAAGGCAGCCTACTTGGAACAGCATCAGGATGTGTTAAGGTTCTAAAGTACTAAGTAAGTTGAGTTGGATGTGCAATGCCAGACATTTTGATGAAGCAGCTTCCAGTGAGTGCAGCAGGCTTCCAAGAGATAATGCAACAAAATCTGGCAATTGTCTGGAAACTTTAGATTTCGGATTGTCACCCCCCCCCCCCCCCCCCCCCCCCCCCCCCCCCCCCCCCCCCCCCCACCAGCATAGCTTAGGCCAATGTTCCCAAAGTCCACGTTTTTGCTCCCTCCCAGCTCCCAGCCAATCAGGAACACCGAATACCTGGTACAGGTGTGCTGGGAGCTGAGAGGAAGCAAAAACGTGGACTGTCCCGGGTTCCCCGAGGACTGGGTTGGGAGACACTGGCTTAGGCCTTGCGTCTGCCATTTTGGACACCACTATATTTGGCCGTAAGTCTCCCCAAGGCAGGGTGATAAACACTCTCCCAGGTGTTTAGGGTGTGACTGTTGTTTCTCGGTTCTCTGGTTCGCCGTTCTAGTCTACAGAGTGATGGTGCTGGAGCCTCGAGTGCAACAGCAGTACACAGCCGCCATCTCCCTCCTCAACCGAAACTTCACCGCACAGCTGTCCTCCCGCAGCAGCGTGGAGTTCAAGACCGAGGCTCGAGTCCTGCAGGACGTGGTCAGCCCCCGTCGTTACCGCCCATGGTAGAGGTGCTGGTTTACCTGTTTGGTACCTGCTGGTCGAAACCCACATGAATGTGAGGAGAAAGTCCCCCTACACCGAGTGAGAGGCTGGGACTGAGCCCCAACCCTGGCCCCCTAGCTCGCCCCTGTGCCACCCCTGCTGCATTTTCCGCATAGTCGGGGGGGTTGGAGTGACGTGGAAACCCTGGCAACCTCAGGGAGACCAGCGCTTTGTGGAGGGGGGGCCCGAATATGAGAAATAATAGTTAATGAACTTGGGATCCAATATACCTGGTGCTCAATAAATTTTACTGTGGGGGACCTGGATTACTTCAGATGAAGAGTGTCAGCCCTAGTAGGGGCTCAAAGTGACATTTTGTTAGGTCGCCCAGAATTTCCAGTTACGCCCCTTTTTACCAGTGGCCTTTGCTAGTTCAGAACTTGTCCATACAGCTTAAGCTGGTCCGTGTGCCAGGCCCGGTCCTGAGCAGGAGTGGATCACAGGCTGTAAGTACTACGAGACATTATAGCTGTACTCTTTCCCATCTTTCAAAGAAGTGTTTTTTTTCTTTTTGTCAGGTGAAGAACCTTGTGAAATCAACTTACCTGTCCTGGTACTTCAACTCCACTGGTGTGTTTGCTTTTGGGTAAGTGGGTGAGAGCAGGTCAGTCGTACAATCTCGTTAACTGTAACTACCCTGCGACGTGAATGAGGAAGCAGGGGAAGATGCAGGTCCAGAGTGGCTCATAACCAAACATGAGCACGATGGTCGTGACGCTCTTTGCTGTGTCCGCAGGGAGGGCAGCGTGGTGGTGTACTTTTGGCTTATTCTGTCAGTGCCTGAGAGCCTTGCGGAGAAGGTCACCCCGGATTATGTCAATAGCAGCCTTTACACCAAGCTGAAGGCCATTGGGAACGGCGACACAGCCAGTTTCGAGGGATACCTGCTGTTCATACCCTCTCTCGCTATAACTGGTGAGATGCAGTCCAAACCAAGATGATCTCAAAGCAAGTCTTAATCATTTTTTTAAATAATAAATCTTGGTATGTTTAATATGCTTTCCCTCATTTTTTTTTATTTGTGCAGAGTGTGATGCCAAAGACATAGATCTCTTAAAAGCCTCCTTTGGTATGATGGATTTTCTGTTGCTGTTTCATTGCTTTTTTTTAGTATCATTTCATTAAATTTTTTATAACGTATTATTTACTCTGAGCCTGTATCTAATGAGAGCTGATGTGTTTTATGTGTCACTGTGTAATGGTGCTCACTGAGTGGCTCACCATTCCTCTCAGACTGTTATAGGTACCAATGGGTGCCCTCTGGGGCCCTGGTGGCCCTCCGGGGCCCCAACACGCAGCGCTCCTCCTGTATCTGGCACCTGGAGGTGCCCTCAGGCTCCCAGCTGGAGCTGCGGATTGAGTGGCTCCTCCCCGAGTGCCGGGACCGCCTGGCCGTGTACGACTCGACCGCACCCACCGATTCCCGGCTCATCACCTCGTGAGTGATGCCCGTCCCTGTGCTCGTTTATCACTTAGCTTTACATTTTACCCACCAAGCAGATATATCCACATTGCATTGCAGGTTCCTCACCTTTTTCAGGGATGAATCGAGTCAAGTTAAGTGGGGCTTTATTGTCACACCGACCTTATATAGTCACACAGCATGCAGCAGCGCAAAATAACGTTCCGCAGGACCGTGGTGCTGATATACCTACATAAAGTGCCGAGATAGGCGGGCCAAATGCGGAAAAAAGTCTACGTATGACATCATAAACACACAATGTAAACATAAACAATTCTGGAATTCTTAGAACTTAGGCAACAGTGGAAGCAGCAGTGTTACACATAAACAGTATGAATGAGAGAACATCCCCTGGAAGGTGCTCCTTTCTCCCTTTGCCATCTCAGACTGTACCGGTGCAGTCGTCTGGAGCAGGTCGTCAGGGTGCTGTCCTCACACCAGTGGATGACCGTGGTGTGGAAACAGGGCCTCTACAACTACAAGGACCCATTTTCCCTCTCCGCTCAGGCTTGGCCCTCTCGTGGTAGGCCCCAAAGTCAGAACCCAGACCCAGAGCATCCCTCCATTCTCAAACAATCGGAAAGTTTGCTTCCCTGTGAAAAAGCATCTTTTGTCTCTCCACACTCTTGCTATTGGCTCACTTGCTCGTATTTTCAGCAAGAGCACCCAAACATTCACGTGAAATACGTGTTAATGGTGTTATGAAAGCCGAAAAGTCATAGTGACTTTGTATATCTTCTCTATTTTGCTCATGGTGATTGTGAGCAAAGACTTTCATCGCCAGATCTCCGTGACCCATATCTGCCCACCTTCTTCCATAGCCTGCTCGTCTGTGTTCGGCTTGCAGCCTGTTCTCAAGGTCCAGGGCACATTCCAAACGCCCTTTTACCCCAGTTACTACCCACCGGACACTAAGTGCATCTGGACATTCACAGTAAGCATTCATTCACTGCTGCACCCCTAAACTATGAGATGTACCGTCAAGTCGTATGTACGAGATTTGTATTTATAAAATAGCTGTACATTTTGCTCAACTGATTACAGTAAAGGTTATGTAGGTGGCGTACTTAAGTAGACGTTAGGTTGTTCCCGCAAGTTACCCTATACAATTGTTTACCCCACTATAATAGAGCGTGATGCTGTTCTCGTTCTGATGAAATAATATGGGTGGTGTGGTAGCTTAGCGGTTAGCACTGTAGCTGTACATCTTCAGGGGTGGGGGATTGTCCCTACTCTACGTTTGGAGCATCTCCTATGCTTGCCTGCTTTTTGTCCCAGTTACTCTGCTTTTCTTCGGACAAAAAAACATGTGGTTAGATGAACCGACGTTTTTAAATTTCCCGTAAATTGTTAGCGTGTGCCTTGCAATGAGCTGCCGGCCCGTCTGCGGTGCCCCCTGCCTTACACTCTTCCCAGCTACCCTGTACTCAAGGGCACAACTTTGGGTTGAGCATTGGGGGGGGGGAGGGTTGAAGTTTCCACCCATTAAAGGGGGTCTAGGGGGTTGTATTGGCTGGTTTTGATTATTGTGGGGGGTTACAACCCCCCATCCCCCGCATAATTTACAGCCATGCGTAAATAACATAAACAGTTGAAAGATAAATTGTTCATCAAGACACTAAATAGTTAATTTGATCAAAATTTGAAACGGCTTAAAAAGGGGCATCAAAAGCAGACTTTCAGTGTTTCAGGCTGTTTGCACAATCTAATTAGGGCCAAACAGAAAAGCATCTATGGGCCTGACTTGATCACGGGGCCTCGATCCTCTTCATAGAGCGTTGTTGTTTAGTAATCTCATTACTATTTTCTGGTAAAATCTCGCAGACGTGACAATTTGCCCGTTTCATGGCTTTTACTGAAACCGCTGTCATCAGTTACTTAGAAGACTGTCTCCTTCGGTTTCAAAACAGTTGACTGCAGATAATTTTCTTGCTGAAGAAGCGTCGGAGTCATTATGATTTGCGCCACTGCACTGTGCGATGGGCCTGCTGATTGTGATGGTTAATATGCAATTTTTTGTCTTGCGATACCCTGGAACGGTGTTTTGCAAGACAGACAGACGACTGAATTAGCAATGTTCCATCAACGCCTCCAGAGTGACTGTTCTGTGGGATTTCCATGAGCTCAAAATATACCTCAATAAAAATCAATAGTGAATTCATTTATCTTCTAGTAACTCTGTAGGCTATATAAAGCACGTTCAAAATAATGGATTCAGCTTTGTCCAAAACATCAGAATGGGAGTTCAGCTTGGCCATCCGAGTTGGCTATTTACTTGAAATTTCAGGACACAGGTTCAGAAACTGCAAAAGTTTGGGCACCTCTGGCCCAAATATCTGTTGCTGTGAATACTTAAGTGAGTAGAAGAATGATCTGATTTCCAAAAGGCATAAAATTAAGGATGAAACGTTCTTTTCAACAAGGTTAGTACATTGTTTTTGTTTTGTACAATTTTACAATGGAAAAAGGAAAGAAGCACCAGACAAATGTTTGGCCACCCCAAGAGATATGAGCATCAGTTCTCAGATAACTTTTACCAAGGTCTCAGACCTTAATTATGGCTTTGGCTTGTTCACAATCATCATCCGGAAAGGCCAGGTGAAGTAAATTTCAAAGCTTTATAAATACTCTGTCTCCTCAAACCTTGTCCCAGCAATCGGTAGCCATGGGCTTCGCCAAGCAGCTGCCTATCACTCTGAAGATCTGATGCCCGCAAAGCTGGAGAAGTCAGTGAGAAGATAGCAAAGCATTTTCAGCGAAGCTGTTTCCGCAGCTGGAATTGTAAATGAGAAATGGCAATTTAACAGGAATGGCGGAGGTCAAGTCGAGGTCTGGAAGACCAAGAAATCTTTCAGAGAGATCATCTTGTAGGATTGCTAGAAAGGTAAATCAATACCCCCGTCTGGCTGCGAAACACCTTCAGGAAGATTTTAACAGGCAGTGGGGGTGCACACTGTTCTACTCTGCAGCGGCACCTGCACAAATATGACCTTCATGGAAGAGGCATCAGAAGAAAACCCCTACTGCATCCTCACCATAAATTTCGGCATGAGAAGTTTGCAAATGAACATCCAAACAAGTCTGATGCATTTCGAAAACATGTCTCATGGACTGTTAAAATAAAGTTAAAATAGAACCTTTAGCCCGTCAATGAGCAAAGGTCATTTGCAGAAGAAGGGTGCAGAATTTCATGAAAAGAGCACCTCTCCAGCTATTAGGCACAGGGGGGTCAATCATGCTTTGGGCTTGTGTTGCAGGCAGTACCACAGGGAACACTGGTGGAGGGAATAATGGATTAACATAAATACCAGCAATCTGGAAGCAAACCACACTATATGTAAAAAAGCTGACTATCTACAACAGAATAATGATCCTAAACACCTCCCAATCCTGAAGACCTCATATCTGCAATGGGCTATAAAATCCACAATGGGCTACCTTAAGAGGAGCAAGCTGAAGCTTTTGGCCTGACACTCACTGTTCTCTGACCTAAACATCATTGAAAATCTGAGCGTGCGAGACGGCCCAAGAATCTCAGAGAACTAGAAGGCTTTTGTGAGGAGGAATGGGTGAAAATCGCCCAAACAAGAACTGAAAAGCTGTTAACTGGCTTTAAAAAGTGTTTACCAACTCTGATACCTGCCAAAGGGGGTGTTACTAAGTACTGATCTCTTCTGCTTCAGGCTCTTTTCCTCATTTCTTATTTTGAAATTTGTCTGGCCACAAATGTGGTTTGTATGATGACCCTGAAGTTTAAAATATTATGGAAATGTGTCACCTTTAACTTGCCTTTTGGAAATTAGATCATCTTTGACCTGCTTAGCTATTCACAGTAACATACATTTTGGCCAGGGGTGCTCAGACATTTGCAAGCCGCTGTCATTTTGCTCCTGCCCTTTACGCTCCTCTGCTCGTATGTCAGGTTCCCTCCTTGGATTTCGGGCTGATTCTGGAGTTTGAGGGGTACGAGCTCAGCAAAGCCAACTACAACCAGGCCTGCACTCAGGGCCAGTGGGTGATTCAGAATCGCAGGTATACGTCCTCTGGAAGCACTGAATGCCACCCATCTGCCGAACCAGTGGTTGCCAACACACAATATACAGCAATATAAATACAACTCTCCACCTCTAGTTGCCTGCAGATTGTTGGTTCCTTACACCCCGCCTTAAAAAAAACTAGCATAGACCAGTACAACCAGCATAATGCATGCTGTTTATACCAAAATAATGCATGCTGTTTATACCAAAATAATGCATGCTGTTTATACCAAAATAATGCATGCTGTTTATACCAGCATGATGCATGCTGTTTATACCAGAATGATGCATGCTGTTTATACCAGAATAATGCATGCTGTTTATACCGACATATGCTGTGTTTTGCTGCTGGTGGACCAGCTTCATGTGCAAATCATACTAGTATATGCTGTTATTTCAGCAGAGTATTTTTTCTCCCCCACATGTTCTCATTTCTTCATCCAGACTGTGCGGCACGCGAACCCTTCAGCCTTACGCTGAGCGCCTGTACCTCGTCTCCACTTCCGTGACGGTCACCATGACCTCGGAGGTGTCACTCACTGGCCCTGGGCTCCAGGTCCACTACAGCCTTTTCAACCAATCAGAGCGTGAGTGGTCGCATAATTGTATATTGTATGTTGATACCTGCAGTTAGGATGGTAAGCAGTCATGTGACATGGGGGTGGGGCATGCAGTGCTGACCTATCGGGGATGAGGTTTCCCTTATTCATGGATGACAATGGGCAGGTACAGGGTCCACCAGGGTGATACATAATACAAAAAGCAGCCGTTATGGATTGAGGGTGACTATGCTGAACTGGTATTTAGATGAGGAATATAGGGCAACCTGACGGGGTGCAGGTAGGAACTCATGAACTGCAAAAGGTGGAGAGAGAATCTGCACAAAGAAGCCTAGTCACCTGAGTTTTGGACACACCCCTATCCCTGATCACCCCAAGAGGCCTGCTGTTTTTGCTGTACATCAGTGTAGTTCTTTGGTGTAAATATTGACATGGTAACTCTTTTCACCATGGTGATTGAGGAGTAAACCTGGCTCTAGTTGCCATGTACCCTCGCTGAACACCAGCTGAGGAATCGCTAAATGTTTAAATTTAGTCCTCAGATGCTCTCATTAGTGGCTTTTATGATGCTGGTGTTAAAATAGTGAAATACAAGGGATGTGAGACACTGAGTTATTCACGTGGCTTGATAATGATGTCGTGACGGAGTGTGTCTGGTCAATCACTGGAATCATAGCCTAGCAGCACTCATAGCTGGCTTCTTGAGATTTGTTTGCTTATTATGGGTTATCTGCCTCACTTGTGTGGTACTTCTGACAACAGATAAGAATATTATATTCCAGCCTGTCCAGGGAAGTTCCTGTGCACGGTGAACGGGCTGTGTGTCCCCGCGTGTGACGGCATAAAGGACTGTCCCAACGGCCTGGACGAGAGGAACTGCGGTAAGGTGGACAGTAGTATGAGCAGGGAATGTGACACCAGGTGGTCACCTTGCCGGCTCAGATCCAAGAGATTGCCCAGTTTCCACAAGGCTTTTTTTCCATTTTCCATGACCACGCAACCAATGAACAATGAGCCTGCAAACCTCTTTCCGGGCACTCGTGAGGGTCCACAGTCCCTCACAGAGGCACACACCTCACAGGCTCAAGAAGAGCATGCGTATTCCACACACATCGCGATTAATCTGTTTTTTGAGATGCTAATCAATACATGTCCCACTGGGTGCATATTTTAAGGCAGCCATCTGAGCATTATGGGTAATGTTGCACATGCACTACCCAGACCTTTGATTTGCAGTGTGCACCGCCCAGTACCGGTGTCCTGAGGACAGCCAGTGCCTGGACTACTTCAAGTTGTGTGATCACCACGTAGACTGCCATGATGGAATGGACGAGGAAGACTGCACTGCAGGTACTCCAAAAACAGGTCTTCTCATTCAACGATGTGTCTGACTGACGCATGGAGGTTATTTACAAAGGGCTGCGTGTGTGGTTGTGCGCACAGACAATTGTTCCTTTTAATCTGAATGCCTCAATTGTGAATGCTCAGGTCAGTGATCTATAGTGACCACAGTCCACTGTGCTGCATCAGATGGTCATCTGTGCGGTGTCCGCTTCTGAAAGTTCATGTCTGTGCCTGGTGGCTAGGTGTGGACTGTACGGAAATGACCTACAAGTGTGCTGACGGGACTTGCATCAAGAAGACCAACCCTGAGTGTGACTTCGTCACAGACTGCCCAGACGCCTCTGATGAAAGACACTGTGGTAAGACGTCCAGGGACAGAATCTCAATATCATCCTCCAAGGCACTAAGTGAAGTACGATAGACAAAGGTTTTACCCGCGTGTGCGCAATTCATTTATTTCCAGACTGTGGGCTCCCACACTTTCCAAGCCGTGTGGTGGGCGGGCTCCATTCCAGCGAGGGGGAGTGGCCATGGCAGGCAAGCCTGCAGTTCAGGGGTCAGCACCTCTGCGGGGGGGTCCTCATTTCCAGCCAATGGGTGGCTTCAGCTGCCCACTGTTTTTACGACGACAGGTACGCTGCCAAGACGACGGTCAGCTAATCTTGGTGTCTTTGGGGACGAGCATAATAAAGATCTCACAGCTTGTGCCCAGAATAAAACTCTTGATTGACAGTGAAGATGTTGAAAGACTTTAAATGTTTCCTGGTAGACTAACAGTAATGGCACAGAAACTTTGAGTTTGACTTCTCCAGGGTTTGAGTGAATGCTAGTTAGGACAACTGATGTCTTTAGATAGACCGTAGTGTGTGTGCCCTGTAATGGACAGGCCTCCCGTCCAGGTTGTCCCCTGCCCTGTGCCCTGTAATGGACAGGCCTCCCGTCCAGGTTGTCCCCTGCCCTGTGCCCTGTAATGGACAGGCCTTCCGTCCAGGTTGTCCCCTGCCCTGTGTACAGGCATGAGCTCCCAATGGGCTCACTAGCACCTTGCAACGGATCTCTGGCCATAAGACTGGATGGATGGGGTAACATGAGGCAATTTAGCGACTGATGCCCTTTGAACTGTCATGTTATTGAACCCACACCTCTGCCCTCTTTCCCAGTTTCTACTCCGCCAATGTGTGGACAGTCTACCTTGGCAAGCTGCTCCTGAACCGGAGCAGCCAAAGCGAGGAAGCTCTGCGGGTGACAGAGATCCACCTGCACCAGTACTATGACGACGACACGCACGACTACGACCTGGCTCTCCTGAGGCTGGAGCGACACGTGTCCTCTCGCACCCTGGCCCAGCCCGCCTGCCTGCCACCCCCCACGCACCTCCTGGAGCCGGGGCTGCTCTGCTGGGTGACCGGCTGGGGGTCACTGAAGGAGGGAGGTGAGAGCTACTGGGGTCCAGCACTTGCTGTGTTTTTCTGGGGTGGACAGGAAGGGCATGGGACCTCCATTTCCCCATCTACAGAGACCTGGCAGTCTGGAAGCTATGATACTTATACCAATAAACAGAGGTGGACAGTTCAGGTCCAGAAAGTACAAATTTTGAAAGTACAAATTTTGATTCAACCAACCAGTTGAGTATAAAGTGACTATGACTCTTTGTGCTCAGGTGACACAACAAAATCGTGGTCTGGATTTTTACTTTCTGGAATGAAATGTCCACCTCTACCAACAGGCATATTTTTTAAATGATTCGTGCATATCTGGTCTATCTTCTCTGGATGCTAATTTAAAAATGACAATACATTAATGCTATAAAACACTTGCTCCACCAATTCAGCTACATCTGCCAAGCATCGTTCTGTCTCTTTAAAAGATAAAAGAGCCTCACGGTACCAACAGCATCTCCTACAGATCCCTGTGTGGGGTCGCAAGAAACAAGGCAGCGCAGACTGAGCCACAACTTGGTCTTTCTGCCTCCTCAGGTCCCGTAAGCAATGTCCTGCAGAAGGTGGGTGTGCGGCTAATCAGCGAGGACGTCTGCAACAAGTCTTACGGCTACCGGATCACTCCCAGGATGCTTTGCGCTGGATTCCGTGACGGTGGCAAGGATGCATGTCAGGTGGAGAAAAGTTTTTACTGCGTTTAATGTGTCATTCAGACCGTAAGCCATTAGGGAAGTGAGGTGCCTGTCAGATGGTGCGCATGGATTCGCTGGGTAGCATTGTCGCCTCACATTTCCAGGGCTGGCGGTTCCAGGCTGCTCTATAGGTCATGATGGTCTTCACGTCACATGGGTTCGCCGGTTTCCTCCTGCTGTTCAACTAACATTCAGTTAGGTGATATGGGGTCTTATTTTGGTCATGAGCTGCCAGCAGATGAGCTTTAAAAAAAAGTATTTCAGTTTGAGTACATTTGAAATATGTTTGAGATAAAATATACTACAGA